AGTATGATAAAACAAGACAGCCCCAGCTAGAACTGTTCTAAGAACATTTCGTGGAAACCACAAAAAGTTCTTAGAACATTGTTTGGTGGGGCAATAGGCGAGCCGGGACGCTTCGCCACTGCTTGAGTAAGGGCTGGCGGGGCGCCACTTAAAGGCCCGCGGGGACCACTTAAGGGCCGGCTGGGGGGGCAGTGAAGGGCTGGCCGGGGCCGACTGAAGGGCCAGCTGGGGCCGACTTCAGGGCCGGCTGGGGCCGATTTAAGGGCCAAGTGGGGCCGACTTAAGGGCCAGCGGGTCGCCACTTAAAAGCCGGCTGGGGGCCACTGAAGGGCCGGCGGGGGCAGACTTGAGGGCCGGCTGGGGCCGACTTAAGGGCCGGCTGGGGCCGACTGAAGGGCCGGCTCGCCGCTGCCAGTTAGGTGATACATGCAGCGTTTTCCATCTAAGCGACCACCGCGGAGAGGCCTTCAGGGATCTTAACTCCCCGTGCCCCGGGACCTTCAATTGTCAGCTCCGGGACCTTAAACTCTCCACGCTCCAGAACCTTAGCTCCCCAGCTCAGGAACCTTAAGTCCCCAGCTCAGGGACTTTAAAGTCCCCAGCTCCAGGACCTTGAGTCCCCAGCTCCAGGACCTTAAGTCCCCAGCTCCAGGACCTGAACACCCGAGCTCCAGGACCTCGAGTCCCCAGCTCCGGAACCGTAAGTCCCCAGCTCCGGGACCTTAAAACTCCGCGCGTTGGGACCTTAAATCTGGGGCCACGAAGGGCGAGAGGGCCACGAAGGGCTGCAACGGGGCCACGAAGGGGTGCAACGGGGCCACGAAGGGGTGCAACGGGGCCACGAAGGCGATGGGGGCCACGAAGGGCTGCAACGGGGCCACGAAAAGGCAGCGATGGGGCCACGAAGGGCTGCAACGGGGCCACGAAAAGGCAGCGAGGGGGCCACGAAGGGCTGCAACGGAGCCACGAAGGGCAGCGAGGCGGCCACGAAGGGCAGCGAGGGGGCCACGAAAGGCTGCAACGGGTCCACGAAGGGCAGCGAGGGGGCCACGACGGGCTGCAACGGGCACACGAAGGGCAACGAGATTCCGATTCCTTAACAGTGAGGGAGTCCTGACAGCGTGAGCGCGACTCCTTGGTGCCTGAATGTCGGGAGCGCGGTGCTCGAGTAAATCCCACCAGCCCTTTGGGCGTAGGTGACTTAGGGAGTTTCCCCGTCCCTTTCGGGGAGGGGTTTATCACTGTTCCCTATTAATAAACACACCCTGCCCCAGGCGACTGGGGGCCAACCAGGGTCCATGACAACCCCCGCCCACCATTCCTTGCAAAAAAAAGTACAAACCACACTCTGCCTCCAAATTCGAAACATGCGCAGCCAACCCGATGCGGCCCCCCCCCACCATCCCTGCCAAAAAACAATACACAGTACACTTGGCGGCGGCGGCGGCGGCTGCGGCGGCTGCGGCGGCGGCGGCGGCTGCGGCGGCTGCGGCGGCGGCGGCGGCGGCGGTGGCGGTGGCGGTGGCGGCAGCGGCTGCGGCGGCGGTTTGGCAGCGGGGGGCGGCGGCGGCGGCGGCGGCGGCGGCGGCGGCGGCGGCGGCGGCGGCGGCGGCGGCGGCGGCAGGCGGCGGCGGGCAGCGGCGGCGGCGGCGGCGGCGGCGGCGGCGGAGGCGGCGACGGCGGCGGATTGGCCCCCAGTAGCTGCCCATCCAAGACGACTGCTGAATATGCTCAGGCTCGGGCCAGGCTCGGGTGCTACGTATGTGTTGGGGGGGCGGGTGGGAGTGAGCGAGACGGCTTGCGGGCGGGGAGGGGGTCTTGACCCCTCGCCCTACCCCCTCCCCTGGACCTGGACAAGAGGTTCCGCGACGCGTTGGAGCACGGCCTCGGCGAGGAAGCCAAACTCATTGGTTTTACTAAGGCTTTGACCCCACTTTGGCCTCGTGAGGGGGGACCCGAGATGGCCCCAAGGTGGCCACATGTGGCCCAAAGAAGCCCCCAAGAGGCCCCCAGGATGCCCCCAAGAGGCTCCCAAGAGACCCCCACGAGGCCCCAAGGGACCCCCCAGAGGCACCCAAGACGCCGCCTCGGCGAAAATGCCAAAATCATCGATTTTACAAAAAGGTTTTGGCCACATTCGGGCCTCCTGGGAGGGGGGGGCACTGCTTCAAATGACTCCACGAGCGCCTGGGAGAGCCCAAGATGACCTCCAAGATGGCTCAAGATATCCCAAGATGCCTCAAGATGGCTCCCACGATGCTCCAAGGGGCCACAATACCGCTTCAAGACGGCTCCAAGTGGCCAAAGAGCTCCCCCAGGAGGCCCCGAAGAGGCCCAAATCCTTCTAAAACTGCAGGAAAATCGATGTTTTGGGCTTTCTCGCCTTTTCGCTCCCGAAGGTCATCCGAGGCTTCAAGGTGACTCCAAGATGGCCCAAGAGGGCTCCAAGAGCGCTCCCAAGGCTCCCAAGAACGCTTCAAGAGGGCCCCAAGAGGCGCCCAGGAGGCCCCAGGAGGCCCCAACTGGCGCCCCAGAGGCCTCCACGAGGCCACCAAGAAACCCTCAAGAGGCCCCAAGAAGCTATCCAAGGCACCGATCTAAGAGGCGTCCGGGACCGCCAAGAGGCCCCCAAGACGCTCCAAGAGGCCTCCACTGGGGGACCCTTCCTCTGTGTGTTGCCCATTTCCCTGATCGAGGCACTTCCTCTGGGCATCGTTCCTGGATGGGCTGGTGGGATTACGCGAAGCGTCTAGAATTGCGGGGAGCTCCAACGCAAGAGCGCGATTTCGGAGTACATTGCAAGCAGGTCTCCAGCGAAAGATCGACTCCAGAGCGCCGAAAAAGAGATTCCTGAACAAATTGTGAGGATGTCACAAGCTAGAGCGCGATTCCTGAATAACATGCGAGGAAGCCTCAGGCGGGGCGGGGGTCTTGGCTAAATTGTTAGGAAGTCTCACGCGGAAGCCGTTGTTGTTGTTGTTGTTGTGATCCTAGGCCAGATGCGCATGTTGAGCCCAACGACTTTCCCTGAAAAAACAAACCAAGGTGCGAGCTTGGGGGAAGCACTTCAATGGAAAAAACACAATGGTCACGGGAGGGGGGATCAGCAGTAATTGTTCTTCCAGTCGTGAGAATTCAACATCATTAACAAGAGCGCTCCCGCTCGACACTTCCTCTTTATCTCCTCGGGACGTGGCTCTGGCTCGCCGCCGAAAGCCGGCTTTTCACCAAAATCGTCGCTGCCGCTCGATATTTCCTTGTTTTAACTCAGGACCGGCGCTCCCGCATCGGCGCTGCAGACGGCCTCCCCTGCAAACAAATACGCTCCCGTTCGGTGCTTCCTCCGCTGTAGCTCAAGACTCCCAAATGCCCTGGGGCTTCCCTTGTTGGTCCCTGGTGCCGGTCCTCAAGAATGCAGCGTGCACTGTCGGAGGTTGGCACCGGGGCCCCCCTGGCGCGCTCCGCGTGCCAGGGGCGGCCCGACAGCCTGCGGCTGTGACCCCGTCGTCCTCGTCATCCCTCCTCCTTCCTCCTCTTCCTCATCCTGCTCCCTCCTCTTCTTCCTTCCCCGAGGCTCAGGACCTCCTCGGATCCAAGCCTTTTCAAGCAATGCCTTGAGGCCTCCATCAAGATGGCCCGACATCCTCCAGTTCAGTTAAAAACCGTCTCCCAAGGGCCCTTATGCCTCCGATAAGGGCTCTGAGGCTTCTCTCATAGGCTCTTGGGGCTCTCCAGCGGGCTCCAGAGGCTGTGCAAGGGGCTCTGGGGGCTCTCCAAAATGTTTTGGAGCCTCTCCCAAAGGTTTTGGGCCACTCGGGCGTGGTGATACCTATAAGCAAGGCGTGGGCAGGACGACTGCGAAGACCATGTGCCATCGGGGCTGGAAATGTTAAAGTGCCTCGGAAGAGGTGCTGACAAGACCTCCTCGGCGGGAAGATCTGGGTAAGGGAATGTCGGAGCCCCTGTGCAATAAAATATCCCCCATGAAGGGGGGAGCTATCATGATGGATGCATGCTGCATATACAATCATAGAACATTTGGGTAACATGATTGTTGTTGCTCTCATTCTTATTGAAATCGCATTTCTGAAAACTACTTGTTGTTGTCCCCCCTCCGGTAACCATTGCACTTTTCAATTAAAATGTTTCTCCTGGGGCTCGTACCCTGTTTGTTACAAGGGGAAGCCGGGTGTCACCAAACTGAGCCCCTTGCCCCCGGTTGACAACAACAACGGCTCCCACCTGATACTTCCTCACCATTTATACAAGAATCGCGCTCTCGCGTGGGACCTCGTCGCAATTTATTCAGACGCCGCACCCTCGACATTCAGGAATTACGCTCTCGTTGTGCATTTCCTCACGATTCACGTGGGAATCGTGTATCGCTCGAAACTTCCTCGCAATTCATGCAAGACGCACGCTTCAGCAACCCGCCTTTCCATTATCCTTTCTTCCATCCGTCCTTTCTTCTCCTGTCTTAGGGGTTGCACGACATACACGTTGCAGGTGAGAAAGGTCTACCCCTAATGGGGGTACGGTCGAAGACGAAGAGGGCGGGTATCGAGGGTTTGGGATCTGCGTGTTGAATAGCACGCGAGCAAGTACGAACGAACAGTCTTAAACTGATTGTTGTTGTTGTGCTGGCAGCTAAAAAAAGATACACCCTCAAGGGGGTACGATCGAAGACGAAGAGGGCGGGTATCGTGGGTTTGGGACGTACGTAATGAACGGCACGCGAGTAGTTAAGAGCGAGCAATCTTAAACTGATTGTTGTTGTTGCCGTTGTTGTTGTTGTTGTTGTTGTTGTTGCTCTTGTTGTTGTTACTGCGTTATCGCCGTCCTCGCCCGACACCCACCCGCGACCCACCCGCGATCCACACCGCGACCCACCCCGCGACCCATCCGCGACCCACCCGTGACCCACCCGCGACCCACCCCGCGCCCAGCCCCCACTCTCATCCGCAATGGCGGGGTGCTGTGTATCTTTTCCCTCTCTGCACCGCACCACGGAACAGCGGCCGCACGGCCCCCGCCGCCGCCGCCCCCAAGGTCTCGACGGCCACTGCGCGGCAGCCCTCCCGGAAGACCTCCACCTCCGGCCGCACGCAAGAGGTGAGAGGGACCTTTGGTGCGCGGCCTTGCGGTCAGGAACTTTTGGGTAGCGTGCCGCGGCGGCTGCCACGGCCACGCGCTATTCCGTTCGAGCGGATGGCGTGTCGCTCCGCTCCGTGGGGCGGGAGGCTCGGGAGCACTCGGGACTTTGACGCTTGGGAATGGGGATGTGGATAGCGTGTCGTTCCGAAGCGTGGTGGGCCAGAGCCAGCTGAGCGACGCGCTAAGCCAACGTTCCTGACCGTATAGGGGCCGCAGGGGCGCCAGATCTGGGCGTGCAGGCCAATGCTGGGGGGGGCACTATTGGGCCTGCACCAAGGGTCACTCCGGCGAAGTGCCACTTCGGGGCCCCGAAACCGTGTGGCGACGGACCACGCGGTGACCTCGGAGCGACCTCACCGCGCGGTCCGTCACCGCACGGCTTTGAGAACTCGGAGGCCCCAGTCGCCCCAGACGTCCTCGAAGAACGGTTCAAGTCCCAAAGCCGTGCGGTGACCCCAAATCCCCACCGACTCACCACACGGTGTCGTCACCACATCTTTTTGGGGCCCCCGAATTACTCTTCCCTAAACATGGAGAGATCCGACCCCTTCCCCAAATTCAACTTTTCATCCCAGGCAATTTTTTGACGGTTCTGGGACCCGGTAAGGGTCCCAGGGCCAGAACATGTAGAAGAACCTCTGTCCTGACTCGTTCACGACGCGAACATGTCTAGAGGCCTCCAATATGGGGTAGGATGAGATGAGGTCGAAGGATCGCGCCGCATCGCCGATTTATCGGCGACGTCGGCGATGCATCGGCGCCGTCGGCGTGGAGAAAATCGGGTTCCACACCGAGCCGCATCGACGATGAGTCGGCGATGCGTCGCGACCCTCCGACCCCATCTACTCCGACCCCATTTGAGAGGCCCAGAATGTCTGAGCCCGTGCGTTGGCGGCGCGCACACAGGGGTACGGGGGGAGGGGGGGCAACTTCTTGGAAGGCGGCTGCTCCTTAGAAGGCGCTGGCCTTACATGCACAGACAAAGCCCGCGCCTTCCAAGAAGTAGGGATGCTTCTAGACGGCGGCCCCGGGAACCCGACCTCGAGGACGAGAAGGAGGACCAGGGACCAATGACTACCTCAGAGGGGGGGAGGAGAAGAGGCCGGGTTTAAAAAAGGGAGCCCGCAAAGGCCCATGCCCTCCCCCCTCCCCCTGCCCCCGGCGGCGCGTGGCCGAGTGCAGCCGGCACCTCGGCGGTGCTTGGCGCCTCGCCCGCCCCGCCCAGGCCGAGCCAGCCGGCCACCCGCCCCGCGGCGCCCTCGCGCAGCGCGGGCGCCTCGCGCCCGGCCGCCTCGGCCCGCGGCGGCTCCGCGAGCACCTGAAGGGCCACGGTGCCGCGGGGGCCTTGGAAATGGAAGCCTTGGACAAGGAATCCAGGGTCTGGAAGCCAGTGGAACTCCGATCGGGATCGGCAACGGGTATCGCCGCCGCCCGCATCAGATAAGGAACCCTGCAGGGCCTGGAGCCTCCTGAAGGCATTCCTTAACCTCCCACCGTAGGGGGGGGGAGACTGGCTCAGGGGGGAAACAGTGGGCCAGAAATCGGCGATACATATCGCCGATAGATCGGCAATATGCCCCCGACAGCGACTCCGCACGCTCCTGGGCGGGATGCGACTAAGCCTGGGAGGGAATCATCGACCCCTCACTGTTCTGGTGAAAACTTACCACTTCCACCGCTGGAAGTGATCCCCCCCGCCCCTGAATCTCAACATGTGGCTCTCGCCTACGCGCCGCGCGCAATCGTCTTAACACATTGCAGCGTTTCACAGATGGAGGGCGGGTCCTTTTCCAGAATGTGGCAATCGCCGTAGCGTCGCGCAGATTCATCTTGCATGTTTGCAAGAGTTTCACGGATGTAGGGCGCGTCCTTTGCAGAATGTGGTCATTGCCTTAGCGTCGCGTGCATTCGCTTTTAAATTTTGCAAAAGCTTCACGGATGGAGGGCGGGCCCTTGTCAGAATGGGGTTATCGCCCGGGTGCCGCGCTCGTTCTTCTCAAAAGGTTTGCAAGAGCTTCGCGGATGGCGGCCGGGTCATTTTCTCACTGTGGTTCTCGCCTTGTCGTCGCGCACGTTCGTTTCGAAAGCGTAAATGACTTCACCGACGGATGGCGGTTCCTTTTTCAAAGTGTGGCTACCGCGTTAGCACCGCGCGCCTTCGTTTCAAAAGCTTGCAGCAGTTTCACGGATGGGGGGTGAGCCCTATTCAGAATGTGGCTATCGCCCTAGCGTCGCGGGCATGTGTCTTCAAAGTATCCAAGAGTGTCACGGATGGAAGGTGCGTCCATGTCAGACTGTGGTTATCGCCTGATCGCCTGATTCCTGAAGGCCTCCTGGGGACTCGTTTGATTCCTGATGCTGTCTTGCGGGTTCCTGACGTATTCCTTCTGGAGTTTTGGAATTTCTTGAAAAATCTCCGCGGGATCCTGGAGGATTCGTCAGGGTCCATGAGGATTCCTGCTGCGGACTCCTGAAACTTCTTGAAGGACCTAGACTTATCCCTCAGGAGTTCCTGAAGACTCCTGCCGGTTCCTGAAGGAGTCCTTCACCATCCAGCAAGATGCCTGAAGGATTCGCGAAGATTCCTGGCGGGGTCCTTCTGGATTTCCGAAGATGCGCAAAAAGATGCCTGGCGATCCCTGGATGATTCGTGAGGAGCACGAACGATTCCCGAGGGTTCCTGCTGTGGATTCCGGAACATCCTTGAGGAACCCAAACTGAATCCTGAAGGCCTCCTGGGGACTCGTTTGATTCCTGAAGCTTTCTTGTGGGTTCCTGACTTTTTTTTTTTGTCTTCTTATTTTTTGGTGAAGAATCTGTGTGGGCTCCTGGAGAATTCGTGAGGGTCCTTGAGGATTCCTGCTGCGGGCTCCTGAAGCTCCTTGAAGGCTCTAAAGTTATCCCTGAAAAAGGGTTCCTGTGGACTCCTGCCGATTCCCGAAGGAATCCTGAAACATCCGTAAGGACTACCTGAAGGATTCGCGAGGTCTGGATATCCGAAGAGTCATAAACAGATATCTGGCGATCCCTGGATGATTCGTGAGGATTCCGAAGGATTCCCGAGGGTTCCTGCTTTGGATTCCTGAAGATCCTAAAGGAACGCAAACTGATCTGTGAAGGCCTCCTGAGGACTCGTCCGATTCCTGAAGGTTTCCTGCGGGTTTCTCACGTATTCCTACTGGAGTTTGAAAGTTTCTTGAAACATCTCTTTGTTTCCTGGAGGATTCGTGAGGGTCCTTCAGGGTTCCTGCTGCGGAATGCTGAAGCTTCTTGAAGGTTCTAGAATTATCCCTTTTGGATTCTTGAGGATTCCTGCCGATTCCTGAAGGAGTCCTGAACCATCCGGCAAAATGCCTGAAGGATTCGTGAGGATTCCTCGCAGATTCCTGTGGGATTTTCTAAGGTTCAAACGGATTTCTGGCGATCCCTGGATGCTTCGTGAGGATCCCGAAGGATTCCCGAAGGTTCCTGCTTCGGATTCCTGAAGATCCTTGATGAACGCAGATTGATCCCTAAAGGGTTCCTGGAACTTCCTTCGATTCCTGACGGATTCTTGACGATTCCAGCAACATTCCCGAATGTTTCGTGAGGGTTCCTGCGGTTTCCTGAATGCTTCCCGAATGTTATTGAACATTCGCTGCTTCCCTCCCATAATGCAAAAATTAGGTTTGGTGTTTACAATGTGTTACCTGTAGGATTCCTGAATGTTTTCTGCGGATCCCAAAGAATTCTTCGATATTCCTACAGATTCCTGAGGATTCCTATGGGGCTCCTGGAAACCCTAAAGATTCCTGCAGGTTTGCTGCCGCCTCCTGGGGGACTCGTGAAGATTCCAAAAGGTTCCTCAACATTTCCTCAATGCTTCCTGTGGGTACCTTCAGACTGACGAGGATTTCTGAAGTTTCCGAGGAATACACATGGTTCCTGAAAGATTCCTTCAAAGTCCTGCAGGATCCCTGAAATATCCCCGACGATTCTTGAGAATTCGCCCATCCCCCTTCCCCGCCCCCCCTCGGGAATCAATTCATTATTTTCTGTGCTGCGATATCGCCAGGGGAATATTTCGGTGGTTTCCCCCATCCTGAATGAATTATTTCTTGGTGCTAGGAACAATACTGGTGAAACCGATAATTGCTCGGCGATCACTGGGCGATTGGGGTCGATGCGTTCCCCCCTGAGCTTATCCCCCAATCTTGGCGGCACGCACAAGGGGTTGGGGGACAACTTTTTAGAAGGAGGCTGCTTCTCAGAAGGCGCCCGCCCTACTACATCTCTAGATCGGGCACGCGCTTTGACAAGAAGCAGCCTCTTCATAAGAAACCTCCCCTTCTCCCCCTGCCCCGAGGAGGAGGAAGAGGAGGAGGAGGAGGAGGAGGAGGAGGAGGAGGAGGAAAAGGAGGAGGAGGAAGAAGAGGAGGAGGAGGAGGAGGCGGAGGCGGAGGCGGAGGAGGAGGAGGAGGAGGAGGAGGAGGAGGAGGAGGAGGAGGAGATGAGGAGGAAGAGCAGGAGGAGGAGAGGAGGAGCAGGAGGAGGAGGAGGCGGAGGAGGAGGAAGAGGAGGAGGAGGAGAAGGAGGAGGAGGAGGAGGAGGAGGCGGAGGAGGAGGAGGCCCCTCTGCGCGTGCCCGACAATCGGTGCCCCTGGGCGCCGTGCCCAGCGAGCCGTCGGCACAGGCCACCACGTCGCCGGGCTGCAGCGCGCCCGCGCCGCCGCCGCCGCCGCGCGGGCGGCGCCCACCGGAAGGGGGACCAAACACCCTCGAGCTTCTCGCTGTTTTGTCGGCGAGGTTTTTCGCAGAGGTTTGTCGCTATCTTCGGTGGAAGGTCGCCACTTTTCTCGCCCTTTCCAGATATACTTCTCATTGGCAGTCACGGCGGGGCATGTTGCGCCGTCCTATATTTCGGCGAGTTTTTTTCGCTATTTTCGGTGGACGGTCGCCAAGTTCCTCGCGATTTGCAAATGTTTTTCATTGACAATCAGGAGGGGACATATTTCGCTACCATACTTTTCTGCGAGGTTTTTCGCAAAAGGTCTGTCGATATGTTTGGTGGAACGTCGCCAAGTTTCTCGCCATTTTCAAATTTTTGTCATTGACAATAACGGGGGGGCATATTTCGCTACCATATTTTTCGGCGAGGTTTTTCGCTAAGGTTTGTCGCTATTTTCGGTGGAAGGTCGCCACATTTCTCGCCATTCTCTGATTATTGTCGGTGAGCGGTCGCCCAATTTCTCGTCGTCTTCTTATTTTTCCATTGACGATCACGGCGGAACATGGTTCGCTACCTTATTTTCTGGCGAAGTGTTTCGCTAAGGCTTGTCGATGTTTCAGTGGGAGGTCGCCAAATGTCTCGCCATTTTCTGATGTTTTTCACGGACAATCACGGCGGAGCATTTTTCGCTACCTTCGGTCCCTGGGGGCCCTTGCGGGGCCTCGGGGCCGTCCACCAACGGCTGGGGGAGGAGAAACTGGTCTCCAGGGGATTGGGCCGAGACCTCCATGGCCGCGCGCGCAAAGGGGTAGGGTGGAGGGGGGAATGCTTCTCAGAAGCACTCTGCTTCTCGGAAGGCGCGGGCCTTATCTATCCCCTACCCCCTGCGTGCGCGTGGCCGACCTCTGGGGGTCGACGTCGCGTAAACAATCATGACGTCGGGGGCTTCGGGGCCGGGCGCGACGTGGGCGGCCCTCGCAGAAGACGCTCTGAGCTCCCGGCGTCGCGATCTGTTCGCGCTGGGTGGCTTCGGGTGCAGCCCATCGCTCGCTTGGATCAGCGCCTGACCCTGGCGGCGCGTGCCCGGGGGGTAGGGGGAGGGGGGAAAGGCTGAGGATGAGGATGAGGATGATGAGGAGGAGGAGGAGGAGGAGGAGAACGAGGAGAAGGAGGAGGAGGAGGATGTCCGCGCAAGGAAAACCAAGAGGACGACGAGAAGGAGGAGGAGGAGGAAGAGGAGGAGGAGGAGGAGAAGGAGGAGGAGGAGGAGGAGGAGGAGGAGGAAGGGGGAGGGCTTCTTGGAAGGGGGCTGCTTATCAGAAGGCGCGGGCCTTACACCTACAGACAAGGCCCGCGCCTCCCCTCGTGCGGCCGAACCCTGGCGCCCGCGGAGTTGAGCCCCTTGGCTTTGGCCCCTTGGCGTTGGGTCCCCTGGCGGCGCCTCCGGCGCCGCCCCTGGCGCGTTCCGCGCGCCAGGGAAGGGGTTCAGCGCAGATCCAAGCAATGCGCGCGGACCTCTGGAAGTTTATGTTTATGCCATGTTTTGCTGCTCTAGTCAGGGGTTCGAGCGCTAGAGGGTTCGATTGACAGAACACCCTTTAGCAAAGCGC